CTAGCTCAATGACCCGCCCCTTTCATACGCCATCTCCCAGTCTGCCAAGATGGGAGACTCCGTGTAAGTGTCAAGTTCGTGGCTCTGACATTGCTCAGTTCCGGTTCTCATCATGTGTTTCGTTCGTGATGTCGTGTCGGTCAGGGGGGGATCTCCGAGTGGCAAGGGGAGAAGGTCCTAGGTGCTGATAGGTGCCGAACCGCCGCCGGAGGAACCTCCGGAGCTACCACCGCCTCCGCAGCCACCGCCGGAACCTCCACCGCTGGGCTTGCTGCCGCCGCCGCTACCTCGGGGTACGTTAGACATGGTTTTGGTGGAGAAAGAGTAGTGTTCAGGTGATTTCTGGTAGTGTCTGTAGGTGTGTGATGCTCTTGATGCTCTTGATGGTGTTTTGGTATGAAAGTTGTTGGTTGCTGTAAAGGAAGAAGTGAAGAAAGGGAGGCAAGCTACGGGGTGCGAAGGGTAGCCTTAAGTATTTGAATTGGGCGAATGGATGATTCAACGTCTACTGGAGAACCGTCACTCATGACCTCCCGTTTTGGGGTCACCAGGCGTGGCGAATTGTTCAGAGATGGTATCCTGCCTTCAATGTACGACGGGTAAATCATGCAACGTTGGACGAACCCGAACCTCTTAACCCAACGTGATGCCCCATCGTTTCACCTAGTCACACCTGGCGCATCTAGAATATGGTGCTGTTACGCAATTGCATTGCACATGGACGACAGTGACCCAAAAAGCGCGAGAGGGTGGCCCATCTAGAACAAAGCCCACTGGACCCTGACATTCTGATATGAAGCAGCATTCGAGTCACAGACGGCCACTCCGTTGAGCAGGGTAGAGTATTGAGGTGGCAGACGGTGTTTATCTTTGCCACCGCCATAGGTACGACTTCGGGTTCGTTCGAGTCACAGCTCGTAACATAATCTTCTTCATCTGAACGAGCGTCTCCTGACCGACTGCCCCGCCTCTTCGTCGAGCCTCCACGATTTGGATCCAGTTCTTAGAAGGTCATGCTCCTGATCAGGTCAGCGGATTTCTCAGCCACGGTATGGGCCGTATACTGGACACTTGCTGGCTGCATAAGGCACATGCTACTCAAATCAACGACTATCAGGTGATCAACCCCGTAGATATTCAGGCGTACGTCTACGAGACCTCCTTTCCTTGAGCTGGAAAAGCCATTTCTCTAAGTTGTCTACACCCTGTGACAGCAACATGTCGTTCAAAAACGATCTATGGGACCATTGTTACCGTTGGGTGGGACGTACAGAGGGAGAGAGCACTCTTGACTTCCAATTCCATATAAGAGTCATGGTATAATGGTTGTAACCCTACTTGACATCTCCAGAATTGTCATGGGCTACCCCTACGATGTGGCTGGCGATGTAGCCACTCCTATGAATGACAAGGCCAGGGGGATATAGGGGTAGATATAAATCTCGACGTTGACTTCCCGCTGTCTTGTCCGCAGACTTTGTTCCTCGCTATAGCCCCTATTGATGTATATTATTGCCGCTCTTGCCTTTAGCTCCATGCCGGTAATAGCATTGTTTTGATCGAAAGTTTGACCAACTTATGATTCCTCCCCCTCGTCTTTCGTTAGAAAGGTTTCTTTCACCACCTACAACCCAAGACAAAGGCTTCTACCCATCAGATGCTACACTTCGAATGGTCTCTACAACTAAGATTCCATGAAACCCATTATTGGAGTCATTCATCGTGATGATTAAGGAGGTAAAGAAAGGTAGCAACGGCTCATGGCCCCAAACAGAGTGTTGCTGTGGGCGAAAGAGGGTCAAAAGCAAATCGGCGGAGCCTTCCAAGTATCAACAACGCAAGGGGCCAACCGGTACCATGGATGGACAGGCGGGATACAGTATGATTGACTACCTACATGTAGGTAGAGCCCGCTGACTCCCATTGGCATCACGCTCCCTGCAGACCTACCAAGGGAGCTTCCCCAACAGCCCACACCGGCCATCCTTTACTCGAATCCCCCTGTTCGACCTGTCCCATGGGCGTACAATAGTCTCCGTGCTCTCGTTTTCTGCATATAGGTGTTACTTAGCCTACCTAGGTATGTGACTGAAGAATCAATTGTTATTTCCTTGTATCTTAGGTGCATGTTGGCTGAATGACCGCCCTCATCACTGCTCTTTATTTCCCGTCACCCCACCTCTACCTTCGACTTCCATGACATCGTATGGGAAACATCTTCACTATGACAGTCATTGCATTGCTGAGAGAAGCAGCCTTCTATGCCGCTGGCTTGATCGCGACCTACGTAAATCCCCCTCGGCCCGTATCTTCATTGGACCATTGGCTAACATCCCCCATTAGCTGATGGTTAGGACGGGATACCGACTCCTATTACACCCCTTGAAGAACTACCCGGGTCCCCCGCTGGCCAAGATCAGTGATACGTACAGCACATATCACTCGGTTAGGAAGAGTCTCCATCTGGCTACCAGGCAGGCTCACCTAAAGTATGGTGAGTCACTAGGAACATGAGCAGATCGATCGATTCGAGAGACTAACCATGGGTGCCTCACAAAGGCCCCGTGGTTCGCATTGGCCCCGATAAGCTCGTTTTCAACTCTATCGAGGCCCTCCACGGTACATGCTGTCCTCGCTCTTCCATCGCGTCGATCCCACTAATCATAATAGAAAAGACATCTACGACAATGATCGGGTTGACAAAGCAAGAAACTACCGCGTCTCGCTCTTCACGCCCTACCCGAATATCTTCAATGTGGTTGACAAAGACCGGCACCGCATCAAGCGGAAGCACATCGGGGGCCTACTCTCTGAGAGTTCCATGAGAAGATTCGAGCCCGTCATGCTGGAGCAGGTCGACATCTTCGTGCGGCAACTTCTCGCCCTATCGCGTCGCGGCGCCGCCCCCGTGAACATGTCGGACCGAAGCAAGTTTATCGGCGCCGACGTCGTGGGGCACCTGGCGTTCGGCTACGACCTCAAGCTGCAGACCGACCCGACGCACCAGCACATCGCCAAGGAGTTCAAGACGGGGAACCATCGCCTGAACGTGTACATGCAGAGCCCGTCGCTGGCCGCGCTCCGGCTCGAGCCCATCGCCCAGCTCATCAACCTGATGAGGAAGGACAGCTACCTGCGACTGCTGCAGGGGATGATCAAATCCCGGCTCAAGGAGGAGAAGCACGCCAAGTACGATCTCTATTCGCAGCTCGCGGACCACATAGATGCCCCCGGCGACGACGGTCTCTCCCTGAGCGAGATATGGTCTGAAGCTCTGTTCTTCTTCCCTGCGGGTGAGTAGAACGCTATCTATCCCTGTCGCTCTAGTCAATTTTTTTTTTCTTGAACGAGGTCGCGCGTGCTGATGAGAGATGAAATTCTCGATCGGACGATCAGGAGGAGAGACGCTGACCACGGCGATGGCCGCGCTGTTCTTCTACCTGTCGCGAAGCCCGGCGGCCTACCAGACACTCAAGCGGGAGATCCGCTCGGCCTTCAGCACCGGTGCCGACATCAGGGGCGGGCCCCAGCTCGCAGGCTGCCAGTACCTCCGCGCCTGCATCGACGAGGCGCTGCGCATGTCGCCGCCGGTCCCAGGCACGCTTGTAAGCAACCAACCTCCGCCGCCATCACTTACTTGCCTATCACTCCGCTATCCTATCTAGGACTTCTCTCGTGAAAACAGACTCCCTGGGGCCTTTCGTCGACTGCCGAAATAATAATATCGGATACTGTAGCACGTTGGGCTAACACCATCGCAGTGGCGAGAGCAGTCCCAGAACGACAAGAGCGGCGCGCCGCTCCTCGTCACCGGCCACGTGGTGCCGCGCGGCGTCATGGTCGGCGTCAACATCTACGCGTTGCAGCACAACGCAAAGTACTTCCCGACCCGTTCGCCTTCCGGCCGGAACGCTGGCTGGTGTCGGAGCAGGGGCTCGGGGGGGTACCGCAGCAGCGCAGGGCCTTCGCGGCCTTCCAGATCGGCGCCCGCGGATGCGCAGGCAAGGCCATGGCGTACCTGGAGCTCGGCCTCGTCGTGGCCAAGACACTGTGGTACTTCGACCTCGAGACGCCGCCAGACGCGGCGCTGGCCGCGGTGGGTGCCCGGAGGCCGTCGTCGCAGTACCCGGCCGGAGACGCGGACGAGCGGCACGACGAGTACTGGCTGCACGACGTCTTTACGACGGATCACGACGGGCCTTATCTGGTTGTGCGCCCCCGTGACGATGTGGTGGGAGACCTTGAGAGAGAATGAGTCTAACTAGCTGGGTATCTTGGCTTCGGGCATCGGTGATGGGACGGGACGGATGCATGTACGTGTGCCTGTTTCTATGGAGTAGAATCTTCAAATGCTAGATAGGGTAGTTTCGCATCTACCGCTTGGGACGGAGCTCCGGACTGATTGACACCTTTTCATGTGGTGCATGGATTGTGAGTGCCAAGTATCTTGATGATACCGGTGATAAGAGGAGGCTTTCAGGCTAGGGTCACATTGAACATGTATTATTTTCATTGGCACTTATTGCGAGATCCATTGTCGGCTGCTGGGATTTCCCCTTTTCCAGCACCGCTGACTGCCCCAGCAGCCCAGATAGAGTGGTGATATATCCCCCCCTTTTATGATACTTACATAAGCCAAAAAGGAAGGCGGTGAAAAACAGCTCCTCTTTTCTGCCGAGCCGCTTTTCACCCCGGGGATCGTAATATCAGCCCAGAAAGACGTGAACAGGCTCGTGAAGCTCTTTACCTCGAATACAGACATCTGGATGGTCTCATAGTCGGTCAGTAATGACCTCTTGTAACATGAATTATCCGTTAAATGCAGGATACTAGGCCTCCGACTCCCTCCGAAGCCCGGCCGCAGCGCCCCCCCTTTCCTCTATTAGTAACGGCATCTAATCTAGATCCCTGCAAGCCACCGGAGACCATCCGAGAGAGCCCAGCGCTAGAGCGTAACTCAATAAGAGCCCGGATTACTTGAGTGTTTGTCAACAGACAGTGGGCGAATGGTCTAGGGGTATGATTTTCCCTTCGCATCTTGCATCAAGATGATTGGGAAAGGTCCGGGGTTCAAATCCCCGTTCGTCCATCAATTCTGATTTCTTTTTGCAATTTTCCCGCTCAGATATGGGTAGAATTCGTGGTATGGTGAATTCGAATTATATTTTTGGTCTGCCGGTCAATGGTCTCTCTCGTCAGGCGTGTTCGTTTCTCGGATAGTCTTCCTTTGAAAGGGCCCGAACAATGCAGACGATAACGCAGCGGAAGGAAATGAGTATATTCGGCGGAAAAGACCACCAGGGCGGGCAGCCAACTCGCTGGCCGGCCGTCGGCGTTTTATGTTTTTACATCTTACTAGCTAGCTATCAGAGAAGCTGAGATGTTCTTTACTGGAGGCGTGCGCTACATAGCGAAAAGCCTGGTACCGGCTGACGACAGAGCAGGCAGGGGTGAACAAAAGCATGGCTCTATGACCCCTTTTTTTAATCCTCTTGGTCGGATTCGTAGCGTTTCTCCCTCCTCGCTCTGCTTTCTATTCCCAGTATTCTGTCTCCTAGCTATCGTCAGGTATAAGGAAAAAACTCTATCGACGTGATGCGCCAATTGGAATTCGTGTTTGAATTGTCCCTAGCCTGCCAAGTAGGTAGCTGGGTAGGTAGGTTTCCAATGGTGCGGCGTCATCATTATGACTCGTCACATAATGCCTTTTTTTACTTTTCGTTTTACTTTTCTCTTATTGATCTACCTGTACCAGCATCTATAATATTCTTCTCGCCTTTCTTCTAGCAACCCCCGATGATGCTTGCGGTGGTATAATCATAGCCTTGAAGATCCTCAGGCCGAGAACACTCGCGATCATGACGGCCTCCAGGGCCAACAGACCTATCCAGAGCCCATCGAGCACTGTGACCTTGTAACCACCGAGCAGCATTAGACCGTCGAGGTCCCGCAACAGGGGTCGGTATGGTATCTGGACCATCAGGCTGGAGGGAGCTCGGGACGGTGAAGGTAGATAGAGTACGAGGATCTGGGTGGGTAGTTGCCTTGATGGGCTTTGTTAGTCTGTTGCGCGCAGCGACTCTCCATCTCTTTGGCTTTCGTGATGACAGAAGAAGAGAGTATGTATCTCACTATATGTCTTCGTATGAAGTAAATCCAAGTAGATAAGCCTAGGGACTGACTGCAAGGCGGTAGGTGAGTCGGCAAGCGATGATACGATGGAGCTGACGATTGCGCTGGAGAAGCCGGTGTTCATTCATTCATTCATTCGCAGTGACAGTGAGAGAGAGAAGGACGTTCGCTAATCGGTTTACTCCTTATTCCGAGGCAGGCGACAACACCTCTAGACCTATCACTCACTCACAATGGGAAAAGAAAAATGGTTGAGTTCGCTACACATATATGAATATACGATGATGGACTAGATACCTACCTAGGAAGTAGGTACACAATGCATTATTGCTCATTTGGACACGTTTGATACTTGAGAAGAGAGAGAGGATGGGACGACGGATTCAGACCACGTTTACATAAATTTGTTTGTTTGGGGCCGGCCGCGCTTTGGGCAATTGGGGAAACACAACAGAGTTTTCCTAATTTCTCGAGATGATGAGATGAACCGGGAGTTTGAGTCTTCGGTGGTAGTTTGTATCTACGCAGTATTGTCTCATTTTAACCGGCTTGATTGATTGATAGGGGGATGTTTCTTCTCATTCACTCCCCCGCATAACAATTAACAATCAGTAATTTAGGGGGGTTCCTTTGCCGGGCTGCCGGGTTGCGATCCCTTCCAAAGGCCTCACAATTCACTGGACTCAACTCATTGCCGGGGTTTCTAGGCCTAATCTCTTTCTCGTCAGTCTCAAGTATGTAGGTATGGAAGACTCGTTGATCGTTGATGGGCTGAGAGGTCGAGAAGCGGACGTACGAGCTCAATGAGACTCGATGCGCCATCTGAAGACCGCATGATGAGAAACCTCGGACGAAACAGATCGCATGAAGAATTGAAATTGCGCAACTACATCAAAACATATGGCGCATCTACAAGAACATTTCTAGAAGAATCTTGAGGGTATGTGTTTGCTTCTTGGCCGACCGAGGCTTGATAAATATAAATATGCAACCTTGGAACTTCCTTGGTATCGATGACCGACACCGCCCCATTGGTGCCGATGCTTCTCTTTACGATTCAAGCATTTCCCGTGAGTGTCTCAGGGGCTCTTGATGATGATGTGGAGGTTCGGATTAAGCCCCAGGACATTGCCGGGGAACTGTCAGACTTGAACGACTGCTCTGAAGATCAGGAACTCATATTCGTCGTATAGCTGTGCGTATATATTTACAAGTGGAGTTGTCTGTATATTAGATTGATCGACTGAGCTGCTCCGTAAAAGCCTCAGCAAAACCAGTGAATGCGCCAGAACCAACCTGTCACGTCACTGTCCTAGTGTTACATCCCTAAGCATCCCAAACTCCGCGCGCCTACAAATGCTGGTATGAAGACAGGGAAAACCTGTCTCGAGCGAACGGCTCAGGAACTGCGACATGTTTGTTATGATTTGGTTGGTTTCGGCGGATTCTGCTTGGCGTGCTCGCGGACATCGCCTCCCGAAGCCCTCCACCAAACATCGCAGCTCCATCGCATCGCCCGTTCGACCGCCGCAGTAGGAGTCATGGCGGGCCGGACATCGAGATAGAAGACAGGCTCACCGGTCGGTTCGGGGGGTCCGGAATAGTAATCGATAATGTAGCGAATTTCCTTCTGCTTTCCGTTGGTCTCCCGCGTAACGTACCAGTCGTGTCGATCGAAAGGTGGTTCAGTGCTAGCAGAACAAGGACATCAGTATAGATACGAGTAGAAGCGATGCTCTTTCAAAAGCTTACCCAAACGCGCCTGGGTATATCCATCCCATGACCTGGAACATAGCAGCTTTTGGCGTCATCTCTTGCGGCCGGCCTTGGAAGCGTACCAGGCTGGGGCTTAGGTTGTCCACCTCCTTCTGATAGCCATGTTTCTTGACCATGGTATTGAAGTTCTTCTCGCCCCGGCTGCACAGCTGCCAGCCCTTGTACAGACCACCGGCAAATCTCTTCTCCCAGTCCATGATCTCGGCCCAGGCGCCTTCGTTCAGAAAATTGTGCACGCCGACCATACTCTCGACCGCCGTGATATCCGTGTCGGTATACCCCTTTCGCAAGAGCGCATTGTACATCTGCTGCGGCGATGGGTATTCCCAGTTTCCAGCGCCGTCGCCCCTGGGGATGGTCGATGGTTCACGCTCGGTGGGGAGCGTATGCGTTTGATTTGGCGCCGGCGCTTGAGAGATCTCGCGGAACATATAGTTGAGAGGGTTGAGCTTGGAGAGGGTAGACCGTGACTCGGGCTCCGGTGCGGCTGTTCTCGAGCTGTGTGGTACGGGGCAGGCGGAGGGGGGTTGCGCTGAGGGTGAGGGTGAGGGTGATTCATGCTTTACGGGACAGCTTGACGGAGGTGTCATGGCTTCGGCCGTCTTTTGATGCTTGTGCATGGGACATCCTGGCTGAGAGAGTTCAGTTTGAGCTGCATACTGGTATATACCTCATGTAAGAATGAACCTTCACATACCGGTGGTGATCGTATTCCACCTTGAGAGATGGAAGCAGCGTGATGAGCCAGAGACTGGGATTGCGCTGAAGTAGCGGCACTGTCTGCCCAGAACCAACCCATCTTCAAAGCTGTTATATTATGGATCGGAACTTTTCTACTAGTAATGATAGCTGGCCAGTGAGAAAAGTACGATGAGTATAGTCGCAGGAGACTCGGGTAGAAGTTTGAGCTGTCGCGTACTCGTCTGGTAGGTTTCAAATGGGAGTGGAAGGGACTGGATGGGATAGATAAAAATTCCTTGGGCTTGATAAGGTTCACATCCATTACAGATTCATTGTTCATTGGACGCGGCGAAAGAACGGGCGCTAGAAATACAGTGGATAAAGTACCTACCCAGGTAGTAACAGCAGTGGATATGATCCCCCGAAGATTTAACGATCAGAATCTTCTACGTCACTCGATGCACTATCTCTCCAAGGTTACTGGGCAGCTGGGGGGTGCATACGAAGTACATCCATGTCGGTAATCCCTTGTTGCGGCATCCCGAGGTTGACTGATCTAGGTATTCTCTACCACATGCCTCAACATGAACAGGAACAACAACACCAACCCCAACACCCGACACAGCTAGACAGTGTAACAGCTCCGACCTCTGGCTTGGACAAAGCCATGGATAGAAGCAGTTTCACTTCAGGAACATGAGTACTGCACCCATTTGTTCTTGATTGTTATATGGATCTAATAATACCCTGGAAGAGTCATGAAACCGGTCATTGTTCTTGGTCGGTTCTGCGCCCGTCGAGCTCTTCCTCGATTCTCCCCCGATATTCTTCCTGCAACAAGATGTGTACGGTGCCGTTCGACTTTCCGCATTCCGCTCCAGCCTTCGCGATATAGCCCACCCCGAAATCCCCGGCCCAAGTACAAAATCCTACAAGCCGCTGGGTATGGAACGCTGGGCACGGGTGTCTTTGTCAAGCTGTCCGAGAAGGACGATGACGACACAGACGAGACCTCCGAAGAGCGTATGCTCGAAGCATCCCAGGCAGAGTTGAAGCCGACTATTGATGATGACGAAAGGGGAGCTCGACGCATCGGACATAAGATTTATATCTTCATAGATCGATACATCATAGAGCCCATCCTCACCGGCCTCAGGTTTTGTCATCTAGTCATCCTCTTCGTGCCCGTCATCCTCTGTGTTCCCGCGGTATGGATCGGCCGTCGTCATCCCGACCAAGACAATGAAAGATCCGGTACTCTATGGTGGTACAGCTTCCTCGTTCGTGCCATGGAGGCGTCAGGACCAGCTTTTATCAAGGTAAGCCCACGAAACAGTCATTCTTCTGAGCCAGTAGCGACTGACATCTTCGTCGCATAGCTTGGCCAATGGGCGGCCTCCCGAACCGATATCTTCCCGATCCAGATGTGCGAGAGGATGTCCAAGCTACATTCCCATGCTACCGCTCACTCGATGCATGCCACCAGGCGGATCATAGAAA